GTCACAAGATTACACCGTAAATAGCTGTGTGGCTATGATATGGTTGTTGAGCTCTGGTTTCATCTTGTGGATAAGCAGACTCTGAGATAAGGAGGTCGAGTCTGTTGGGAGATGTAGACAGAATTTTGAAATCCATGTGAGTGTAGGGATGGTCTTCTGTGTGTGAGTGTTGGCGAATAGTGGAGAAGGACGGGTTGGTGAGAGGTAGGCCAGTTCTTATGGACTTACCCATATGTTCAAGAATTCTTGAACCAACGTGTCGTTGATCCAATATACCTAGTGTTGCAGCTAGGACAAGTAAACATATATACAATGCTTGAACATAATTCCGAGGGAAAAGACTCTCTTCTTTAGAAAAGTATTGATATTGTAATTATATGTGAAAACTACATTAAATTTAACCTGGGGTAATGAATGTTTGAACATCCCACGTAATTGATTTCGAACGGAATAACTGAGTTGTTCGAGATACGGTAATTTAATGTATTTAGTTTGTTTTGGAACAGAGGTAAGCTTTAGAGGCTGTCAAAAGTTATCATTTAAAAACAATCTTAGGGTTTTCTGAAACATATTGCTAGGGTATCCATTTGCTTTAAAGTAATTTCATAAAAACTCCATTTCCATATCAAAAAAGAGGCCAAGTGGTGCAAATGCTATATGCTATATGTTGATTAAGGTAGATATGCTGTAATTTATACTTCTGAGGTGCGTAGCTCAAATAATGCATTCCTAAACCAGCGAACGTATGTAGTGTACAGGCGACCGTTTTCTTTGGTGATCAGCGTGTCAAGAAAGGAAAGCTGGTTTTCTTTTTCAATTTCACAGGTAAACTTAATGTTATGATGTTGGTCATTAAGGTAGGATAGAAACAACTGTACATGTGATGGATGTTGAACAAGAGAAAACGATCATCTATGTATCTTTTGTTTAAAGTGTTTAAATTCACTAGGTAGTTATGTAGCCAGTTCTTTTCATGACAGCACAAAAAAGAAACATTAGCATAGCTAGTGCCAATGGGGAAACCCATAGCAACTCCATCGATCTGAGTATACAAACATTTGTCAAAAATAAATACTGAATCTTTCGTGACTACGTTTAAAAGAGAATTTAAGTTTCTTTTCTAAATCAAAATGTGAAAGGGATTCGGCTGTTGTATTATTTGTGATATGTGTGGTTTCAGTAAGAGGCACATTTGTAAACAATAACTCGACATCAAAACTGGTCATAGTTGTGGTGTTATCAACTCTTAATTGATTGATTTCATTTACAAAGTTAGATGAGTTGAATAACGTGTATTCATTAAATTAGAGGATGAATGATTTTTACAAGGACTTTAGCCAGGTTGTAACTGAAGGTGCCGATTGATGAAATGATGGGCCTTAGAGGAATTCCAGGTTTGTGCACCTTCGGGAGACCATACATAAAACCAGGACGAGAGCCAGATGCAAGGATAGACTGATGTGTGGCTTCGTCGATGATAGTTTTTAAAGGCCGTATGATTCTATTTAGTTTGTCCTCTAGATTTAATAGGTGAGTGGCTAGAACATTTAACACTTTGAATTTTGACGAGTCAGAAAGTATAGAGGAAATTTTGTCCAAGTTCTGTTTAGTAAGACTATGCCCCTTCTTTTGTCGGGTTTTGATATTACAATATGTTCGTCAGACTTTATATTTGAAGACTATTAGTAACTTGTTCAGTAAAATCAGAGGAATAAAAAGTTTCTCTGTTTTACTGTACAAAGAAACTGTTGGCCAAAACAGATATTTTCCTATAGATCGAATCGTATCTTGATAGATATTACAGTTTTTTGGTGAATGACATAGCCTTTCAAAAGGAATAATGAAAAACAAAACCCATTTTCTTAGGTCGTAGGCAGAAATTTAGGCCTAATGATAGTGCTTCCTTTTCTTTAACTCCGAATTCTATTTGAAAAGTTAAAAAATTACTTTATTTGTGTCCACTTTTTATAGAGGAAATTTTGTCCAAATCAGTTCTGTTTAGGAAGACTATGTGTTTTACTTTTGCATATATTTCCCTTCTTTTTTCGTTGTTTTATTTCATTGTTTCGCTTTTTGTAATATATATTTTTGTTTATTTCTGAACTGCTTTAATTTATGCCTTGTCCGGCTCGAATGTTTTTACTTGTTTTGTTCTTTTATAGCACTGAAGATGAAGAAGTGCAATCGTCTTTGAAACGTATGCAATAAAGATGTTCATCACAGCATTGGTTATGATTTTTATCTTAAGATTACG